TTAAAATTTACAAGGCATTTCTTGTCGCAGTTAACCACTGATTGGAGATTGTTTTCAAGAGCAATTGCCAGGTTTACTTTGTTGAGTCTGTCGGGTTTTCTACTAAGAAAGGAGTTAATAGTTGAGTCATCTGCATAAATACCTAATTGTGAACTGATAACATCAGGGAGATAATTGATGAAGATCAGAAACAGTGTAGGTCCAAGGATAGAGCCCTGCGGCAGCTCCATGTTAGTCTGAAATGAACTGTTAGCATACCCGTTCAACACAACCTTCATTAGAAGATTTGTTAGGAACAATTGGATTAAGCCAAATAATCATCCTATGACACCGTAGCTCTTCAGTTTGCATAGAAGGCAAGCAGGCCAAACCCTGTCTAATGCCTTTGAAATTTCTCTTCAGATTTCTTTAACCTATACAGTCTTAAGATAGCTGGAGGTTCTTCCAGGATTTATTATTGGTGGGGCTCCACCCTTGACAGCATAAGACATGCAGATGGCACTGTATTGATAGCAGAAAAACAACTCTGCTGATACTTCTAGATGAGTTAGTAAAGGAAAGAAAGAAGAAAGGACTAACCACTAATTGTAAGAGGATAGAATATATAGTCATTAGCAAAAAGGACAACCCCAAATGCAAGATACAAGTTGGAAATGTCAAAATAAAGCAAGTGTAGAAATTTATCTGGGAAGTATTAGAACAATGGAAAATACGATTCAGAATTCTGAAAAAGCATTGGAATAGTGAAAGATGTCTTCCAGAAACTAAACAAAATATCAAGAAATAGGAAGATTTCATTGGAAACAAAGATTACTCAACTGTTATATAATATCACTTCTACTTTATGGTAGTGAATGCTAGACAATTTCCTCACAGATGAAGAGAAGACTTGAGGCAAAAGAGATGCGGCCCTACAAAAGAATGCTCAGAATACCATGGTCAGTGCATGTGAGGAAACAAAAAGGACACTTCTACATAGGACCAGAAAGAGATAGATAAAATTTATTGGACACATAATGAGGAGAGAGGGCTTGGAGAATTTGACACTCACAGGACATACTGAAGGCAAGATGGAAACAGTGGGTAAACTACCTAATGAGCTTGTGAAAATGGGTGGCAGAACATGAACTGGGAGGGATGGTAAGGAGATAAACACTTCTTAGAGCTACAAAGGTTAGGAAGTTGTGGAGAGCCACGATCACTCACATCCTGGAGGGACATGACGCATAAAAGAACTTAATGGCAACATATCTTCACTATCAGTTGTCTGCTCTTGATCATTTATCTTTCATTTTGAGACTCCATATTCAAAGTCTAACTTGATCCATAACAGCAACCATTAGAAATTTATTTCTTCCTACTGCTTTGCCAAACCTGCTTATAATGTTTTTTTTCTCTCCATTTTTCTTCATTATCATTAGAAAGTTTAAAGCATAACACTTTTTTTTTTTTTTTTACAATTATCATTCTGTACAAAGCCCAAGAACCACTTAAGGTAGAAGACTACAGAGTAAGCTGTAAGAGGCACAGTTCATGGGGATATGTAGGAGAAATCATGGTTAACCCTAGGCTTGAACAGGTTAAGATTATAGTGATCAGGGAAGTACCCTCTTAGGAGTCAATTCCACAAAGTAGTGGTTCATGTGAAGAAGCTGTTTGAGTGAAAGTTCCATTTCACCAATGGAATACAAAGAGAATAAGGGGTACTTCGCTACAATGTCCACAACATAGCAGGTCTTTACCTTGAAGGTCAGAACTGGTGTAACAAATGAATGTACTTTGTCTGGACATTTTCCATGGAAATAGCAATAGAATAGTGAGAGACTTGCCACATTTCATCTAAGACTTTCTGTCGTCTACCTCTTGACCTGGCTGAAGCTTCTTGCAGTTTTACTTCAATTATGTTGCCTTTCTTTGATTTAATTATCCAGCTTGATATCAACTTTTAACCCACAACTCACTGTTTCTGCACTTGTTTGTTGAGTGTCCCTGTTATATTACTACATTGTAGAAGGGTCATAATGCTTTTGCTCAACAGATACTGGATCACTCTCACAATCTGATGTATTCTCATGTTTGTCACGACTTATGTATGTCTCTTTGTCCATGTTTGACAAGTATCTGTTTGTGTTGTTTGCCCATCTGCATGTCATGCCCGTTTTTCATTGTTAGAATACCATTTCTCCTGTTTTTTAAGTGATTCATTTTCTATGGCTTATCAACCCTTTGCAGGTTATTTAAAGCCATAAAATATTTTTATATTGTAAAAAGTTTTTTTTGAGATAATAGTCGTATAGTGATACAAGTCTTACTAATTAACCCATAGCTGGGGGAAGAAGAGGTGGATTTATACCTTTCCTAAGCTTATTTGCGCATAAGTGAATATAACGAACTCAACAGGAATTGGAACATGGCTGTATGATTAAGAGTTCCAAGCTATTATCCATTACACAACCTGCACATCCAAGCTTACAGCACTTGGTATTCCCAAGCAGTTACCCATCTAGGTACTAACCATACTCTACATTGCTTAACTTCAGTGATTGTGTGGGAACTGGTGTTTCAACAGGATGTGAACATTGGGCCCAGATAGATAAATAGAATGAAACAGTGTAGACATAGAAATCAGTACTGCATGGTGAGTGACAGCTTCATCCCTTAAATCAGGAATCACCAAACTATGGCCTGCAGGCCAATTCCTGTCTGCAGTGTCATTTTATCTGGCTCACTGCTGCACTGTGTCACAAATGAGCTAAAATGTAATTAGTTATATGGAATTATCAATAGATTGTAGTTAAGTATGTAGAAAAAATTAAAATAAATTTAAGTAAAATGCCAAAATTTGGCCAACCTGATTTTTGCATCTGACAATAATATAGTTTTTAGGGAAATCAGTGGAATCATCGTTTGGAACAACTTATGTCTGTGAGCAAACATTTCAAAAATGAAGTATTTAAAGTCAGCACATTGAATGAGGTTGACTGATGAACATTTGAAAGCAATTCTCTTGGATGCAGCAATACTAAAGCAAATATTTGAAAGGTAAACACCAGTTTCAACCTTTTTAACTTATTTTGCTGCTTAGTTTGTAAGATTTGGATATGTGCATACTGGGTGTGATATAACTATTTTATTGCTCATGTCACCTTCTTTGATAACTTTTTGGTAAATAAATATGTTTGTTGTCCTTATTTTTTGTTTATTCAATGTATTGAACAAAATGGTTATCTAGATTGCACTCATCATTCTCTCAGTTACACCTGGTGCTCTGTGAAAAAACTTTGGTGACCCCTGCCTTAAGTAATCTGTTTATATCTTTCCAAGCTTACAACACCTGGTATTCCCAAGTGGTCACTCATCTAGGTATTGATCAGACTCAACATTGCTTAACTTTGCTGATTATACAGGAACCAGTGTTTCGATGTGATACGGCTGTAAGCCTATAAGAATGTGATAAGCTCTGCCTCACTTGATGATGAGGTGCATGTTTCAGCTTTTCAGATGACTCGCATTCCAGAAAAAAGATTTCCTATAGCTGAACGCCATGCATTAAGAATAATAACCACAATCTCATTAGTCAAAATATCTTTTAGGTTAGGAAGTTGATCCTTTAGATTTGCAAGCAGCTTTGGATTTTTTTCCAAAAATCAGTTGGTTGGGGCAATACTCATTAACATTGTTCTGAGACAATTCTTAGCATTCAGAGCCCAAGTTAAAGCTGCAGTGAAGCTATAGTCTGCATCTTTTATGGTTTTATTCATCATCTCTCCAAGTATTCCATTGTGTCTTTCAGTTACAATGTGGTTAAACTCCATTATGTACACATGAACCGACATATCCCAAGCACTCTGATATTTCTAAAAAGCTTCAAAGTGCAGACCAGTTACCATCATTTTAAAACACTGTCTAATCTTTTAGTAAATTTTTTCTCCATTTCAATGCCTTCATTCAAATCCTTTAAATCCATTTTCAATGCAGCCTCTCTTAGTAAATATCTATGCAGATGATACACCAATGAATGGGTTCCAACTTTTTTTAAATCAGTTTCACACCAAGCAACTCGGTAAAGTCACTAAGACACAAAGGGTTATTGAGTGTGGTAGAATTAGGAATAGAAACATTAATAATGAGCGGGAAAAGAGTAATCAGAAGGGCAATAGATAGTGATTGACATTGAAGTTAAATTTTTGCAGATTAATGTTGGTATGGAGCCAGAAGGGAGTTTCACAAGCGAGAAACTGTTAGCATAGAATTTAATGATACATCTAGCCAGCTCAACTGTAAATTGATGAAATCTTAATGCCAGTCTAGTACTGTGCTTAAATTCAAAAAGTCTAGGTACCACAGTAAAGAGCTCATTCGAACAATTACCGATAAAGACACAGAGAGGTAACCTTATGGCAGTGCTTCCAAAAATCTAGAGGATCTCTCCTTTGACCTTTGAGTTCTAACAGTTCAATGCAAGAAAACTGCCTTGTAACATTCACTAGCTCCAAAACCAAACTATTAGTGCTTCATCATCAATGAGAAGACCCTGAATTTTTACCTGTCATAATGAACAAATAGGAGTTGACATGCCGTTAAATCCGACATCCATCCATCCATAATGAACAGTTATTCTTTCAAGAAGGCTGCTTGCTTTAAACATATACTGGGACTCCAAACCTCAAATAGAACATATATATATGATCCATCACTAAAGATGCTGGAAAAATGGCTGGTTCCTTGTACCACTCCAGAAAGTACTTCTCAACACAATTTTCACATAGCCTCCTAGAAATTCTGTCTCTGTGAATATACATACCATATATACTCTAGGGTAAGTCACACATTTTTTTCACCAAAATTTTGATAAAAATCCAGGGTACGACCTATCCACTCAACATCGTAGAGAATCTGAAGTAGACTGTGGCATATCAGTCATTCTTGGTGGTTGCACCTCTATTTTGCAACCACTTGATATTTTAGTAAACAAGCCTTTCAAGATTTACATTTGAAAATTGTGGACATTTTGGATGATATCTGGTGAAAAGGAATTTACTAAAGGTGGGTCATTGAAAAGACCTGGATTGAGCTTAGTTGTAGAATGGGTAAAGGAAGCCTCAGACAGTATCTCTGAGGAACTAATTATTATCAAGTCCTTCAAAAAAATGTGACATCTCCAATGCCATGAATGGCTGATGTATGAGGACTTGGTTGATTCAGGCATAAAAAAAAACAGAGAATGAGGATGGAGATGAACATACCATAACTAGTGATTAGCTGAATGAATAAATGAAAAGAATGTCTGACAGTGATGATGATGATGAAGAATTTTTGGCTTACAGTCCTAAGGAAGTTTAATAACTATGTTTAAATGAATAAACACTTTTCTTATATTTTAATATATATAAGTAAAATTTTGAAATAAAGGTGAACATTTGAAAATATTTAACAGATATCAATTATATTTATGTTAAAAAAGAGCCATGTAACTGCCCATATTATAGTGTGACCTATCTGTGAGTCAACTGAAAATACTTCAAACTAAGGATGTGACCTATCTACTGGTGTGATTTATCCATGAGTATATATGGTATCTCCTCTACTCTCTCAAGAGCAAACCACCCAATGTTTTGTGCTTCATCAATAACTAAACATATCAGGTTAACAACTTGTTTAATAGCAATAACTCTTCATGATAGGAGGTAATTATTACATTGTCAGGAGTCCTTTGCTTCTGCCCAATTGGAGGATAGCTTTGTTCAGGAAGAGCTGAAGGAATCAACAAGGAATCACTATGATCAGCTGGAAGATAGCTGTCCAAAAATCTCCTGTTGAGTTCCTCTCAAGAGTCATTCCAGCCAGATTCAACATAAAATCTGTTTGATATGATGCAATATGCTGAAATCTTCAGGGTCAACTCTTCTGATGAATGTTAACAAATAGTGAAAATTTGGGTGAAATAGGACCTTCAGGACAGACCCTTGTCGAATCTGGTTGGAATGACTCTCAAAAAAGTCATTTGCTATAATTAAGTAGTACCATGTTGGGAAAAAAAAGTTTTTGAGGTAGAAAATTTTTTTTTTTTTTTTTTTCAATGATGTAAAAGGCCCTAGAGCTACTCAAGGTAGATGGTTACAGATTAACACTCACAGATTATGGAGATTTGTGGGGAAAATAATGGTTGACTCTAGACTTGAATAGGTTAAGATTGTAGTGATTGAGTAAGCATCCTCAAAGCAGTGTTTCATGGGAAGAAACTGCTCAAGTGGAACTTACATCTCACCAATAGAATATGAAGGGAATGAAAGCGGTTCCCTACAATGTACATGGCATGGTGGATCTTAGCCATGACGTTAGAACTGATGGAAATAAGGAATGTAATTCTTCTGTACACTTTCCATTGAACAAGCGTTAGAGCAGCAAGAGGCTTGTGACATTTAGGTAAGTGGGTGTAGGGTGCAAAATAAGTCATCATCCACAAGGATGTGGAGACACTTTTGGACTCTATCGAGACCAGAAAGTGAAGATATATGTCAGCAGTACTCCATTTTCAGTTTGATCTGGTAGAGGAGTCAAGTTCTTACTGGATTGCTACAGGGAACCAACTATTTTTTCTCATATCTTTAGCAGTGATTAAAGAAATATCCTCTTGGAAGTCTGTTTTACAAAGTAGTAGTTCTTGGGAAGGAGCGGTATGATTGGAAATTCCTCCTTACTAATGGAATATGAAGGGAATGTGGATGATTCATTCCAGTGTATGTGGCATGGCAAGTCTTAGATGCAAAAGTCTGAATTGGTGAAATTAAGGAATGAAACTCAGAACATTTTCCATGGAAATAGCAACAGAGTAGTGAGAGGCTTGCATTGTTGTGTCTATGGGAAAGGATTGTAGGGTGTCAAAAATTCATCACCCACAAGGTTGCCTAGATGCTTTTGAACTCTTTTGTTTTTAATTCCTGGAAAGTGAGGATTTGGCAGATCAAGACCACATATGGCAGCAGTATTCCATTTTTTTGTCTGATCTGACTGTTGTAAAGATATTGCATGGCAGAAGGAGTTACATACTTTCTGAAGCAGGACTATGAGCTGACTATTTTTCTAACACCTTTAGCAATGGATCGTATATATGAGTTCCACTTGAAGTTTAAGGAGAATTTTAATCCCAATAGACATTCAATGTAAGGAGCCTCATTAAACTATTTGAGGTAATGTGTCTTAGGAAGTACAATTAACTATTTTTTTTATCACTGAATGCTTTCAGTTGTTGTGACAGATATACAGAAATGAGATTTCTTTAACAATAAAATATGTCTGTACTTTTAATATTCTAAGTCTGAAAAAAAATCAGTTGATTTCATAAATTCTTTTTGTCTATATAATCTCTTTTTTTTTTGATGATGTCATTATTTCTTTTTCAGCACGTACAGTTTTTATGGACCTGATGAAATACTGGATGTTCTTGCAATTGCCGACTGGGGACAAAAACTTTCTTTTTATCAACTTTCTGGCAAGCAAGTAAGTTTTTCTTTCATATAATTTCATGCCAGAATGAACAGACATATTTTTTCATTGCTCAAAAAAAAGTGATGTTGTATTTTAGAAGGGAAATCTTGATTATTTTAGTATCTGTCTATATTTCTGAGATGAGGTATTGTAATTATTTACATTATTCAGACTGTTGACCTCTTTATTGTTATGAACATGGCAATAAAGATGAGAATAACAGTCCAAACAATGTAAATTAATTATTTTAATTATTCATTTATTTATATATTTTTCTTTCTTATAATTTTTATTATACTATTATGTATTTATAATCTTTAATTATTAAAATACATATTTGTTTATTTTTTAAGATAAGTTGAAGTATACGTTGATTGTTTTATTTTAAAATAAGTGTTATTCAGCAAGTTTACTTTATTAAGAATGTCTATTATCACTAAGAATTATTAAGAACATTCAATATATTGTACTTTTTAAATTACTTAAACATTGGCATGAATAATTCTACTTTTTTATATTTAAATGCAACATTTCTCTTTTTATGAAAGAGGACGTAATTTTCAAAATTATAGGAAAACATTTCAAGTTGTAAATTTGTTTTATTTATCTTTGACAGTATTGTCGATTTCTTTCCCTATCATTTATCATTCAAACATTTTTAACAACATTTGCTGATAATTGTATTCTTTTATCCTTTTCTTATTTATTGATTGTAACGTAACATTTTTTATGGATTAGAATGTATTTTCAAATTCATATGAAATGCATGTTGAGTTGTAACATTATTTTATTTTGTTTACTTTTTTATTATTGGTTCAGAATAATCAATTTCTTCCTCTATTATTTATCTTTCAAATATTTTAAGAACAACAATAATAAAAAAAATGTTCTCAAAAATTAGATAATTTTATACTTTTATTCTTATTTATTGATTGGTTGGTTTCTATTATTATTATTGTTTGAAATAATAATAATAATAATAATAATAATAAGTTGTACATTTGATGACAACTCCAACATCCATGTAAAATATAAATGTGTGTTTATGGGTGTATTGTCAGTAGTAGTACCTTTGAAGTGAAGTGGTTGACCCTGCACATGACTCCAAGAAGTCGCATGGGCACTTCTGGATAAACTGTAAGGTCAATGCTTTTACTAGTGGGCAGAGGAACTTCTGAGAAGAGGGATGGAGTAACAGCAACATTCCTGGTTAAAAAAAAAAAGAAAAAAAAAGGAAGTGGCAAGCCGCTGCACTATTTTGCCTTGAATGTCACAATAAGCCAGGATTAAAAGAGAAATAGGGGGAGTGGTAGCCACAATGGTTCAAAATGTGCTAACTGAATAAATACTATACTAATTTTCTAATAGAGAAGCCCAGGAGGAGACACAAAGTACCAGATTGATTATGTAACCATCAACAAAAAAGTTCAGAAATAGTTCTGCACTTTTAAACCTACCCAAATGCCAAATGTGGGAACAACTATCTTTCAGCTGTGTGCAACATTAGGGTAAAACTATGGAAACTAAAGAAGACCAAAGCACTGCCTAAAGTACAATATGACAGACTCTTGAAGGACCCAAGTTGCAAGGGGATATACAAAAACGAAATGACTATAACCAGAATGAAGATAGAAAATGTGGAACATGCTGAGAGAAACACTATTTACTTCATTGAACAAGATCGTCCCAAAGAAACTAGACAAGAAAGAAAGTAATGAATGAATGACAGAAAAAATTCTAAAGATGATGAAAAAGTGATAACAAACAAGGCCAACGAATGGAAAAGAATACTGAACACTAAACACAGAAACTGGTTAACGAGGAATGAATCAATGAGAACTGCACAGAAATAAAGAGAATGAGCAACACAAATACAGCAAGTATGTACAACGGAATAAAAGAAGTGAGCCAACCAACAGGCTCTATAAAATCAAAGGAAGGATCACTGATATACTAGGAAAAAAAAAGAAAAATGTTCTAAAGGTAGAGCAAATACCTCAAAACTTTTTCATGATGTAAAAGAGAAATGAAAGATGCAAATTCTGATGAATAGAACATGAAGCAGAATTAGATTGGAAATAGGACAAGAGGAGTGCATCTTTGTCAAGGAGACAGGAACAAGAAATGTTAACTTCATCATTAGAATGATATCAGAGAGAGCAATATAAATGCAGAAGGATGTGCATTTATGTTTTATAGATTTATGCAAAAAGTATTTGATAAGATACAGCACAAGGATTTATTTGAACTGCTAGGAAAGCTAGATCTATTTGGAAAAAAATGTTAGAATAATCCAGAATTTATCTTGGAATCACACCACCTGCATACAGACAGAAAAAAATGATTGAGTAGCTACAAATAAATAAAAAAAAGGGCTGTGAGACAAGGATGTCTCTCTCCAGATTTATTCATCCTCTACAGCAATGCTATTCTAAGGGAACTGGAGACCCTACAGGATTATTTATCAGTGGGTATAATTATAATAATACAATATATGCAGATGACACTGTATTGATGGCCAGCTTTGAATGAAAACTACAGGACCTCCTAGACAAAGTATTAGAAGAAAGTGAGAAAAAAAGGACTAACCATCAACTGCAAGAAGAAAGTATGGTCATCAGTAAGAGAAAAAGGCCAAGATATGAGTTATAAATTTGAGATGTCAACATGAAGCAAGTGCAGAAGGTTAAATACCTGGAAAATGTTTTAATAGAGGATGTAAATTTCCATTACTCTAGGGATGTGGCACATAGAGGAAGAAAAACAGATTTTTCAATAATTCGGAGAGGGCACCTGGAATTTAACAGTTGAAATCTCTTAATGGCTAATAGGGTTAATAACTATTTTTAATAATTTTATTAATTAAAATTTTTATGTATAAGAGATGAAAACTGTTCTAAAAGTACAAATAATTACACAATAAACATGACAAATCAGGGTGTTTTCTCAATTTTGAAACAAAATGATTGGGCACAAATCAAGGAGCAATGGAAATTACATTCATTGAAAGGTAAAAGGACAATATTTTAGGATCTGCAACCATTTAGTCTCAGCCATGAACCAAAAATGTCAAGAAAAGCCTTAGAGTACATGTTCCATTTGTCTGCCATTCAGTTGAAGGCACTGTTGAATGTAAAGTTGTTGATAATGTGTGCACATTCCTCCTGGATAATCAAATTGCCTTCTTCTCTCTAATATACTCCTATCCTATACACACTTGATGTATTCTCTAAAAATAAAAATAGATTATTGACCTTATTTTTATTTGGACTAATTTCCTCATCTTTGTTGTTATTGTAACATTTCAGCTGTTGTCCCTTCTAACATTCTTCAGTTGTGTGTTGATTTGGGTAACCTTCAGGGTATTTTGAAATGAGCTTGGTGTAAAATGTTTTTGTTGCACTGTCAATATCTCATCTTGATCTCTCTTTAGTACTACTCAGTTATTGCTCACCCTGTTCCCACTGAGTCTAAGTCTGTACTACACAACCCAGGGATTGAACTCACAATTAATATATCATTAAGTTCAATTAGACCAAGTGAAAATAAATCATGATAACTCCCTGTCTTAGAAATTCAGATAAAAATAAGTTAGAATTTTTTTTTTCTGTCATGTGTAGATAGCAAGAAGTTTTTAGTTGATGCCATAAATTGATTTCATATTTTTTTGTGCTTTTAAGTTGATGCATTTTGAGTATTTTTGTTTTTGTGCATTTTATAAGATCTCTCTATAATAAGCTTAATCTACTTCTTGTTTATGATCATTTGAATAAAACTTGTCTATGTACTTTTTCTCTCTTGTAGTTTCTTTTCCCATTGAAGTAATGAGTTTGTTGGGTAAGAGTCAGGTGACATAAAGCAGTACTTTTGGCTGTTTACTTAAAAAAGGACCAATTATCATTTCATACTGAGGGTAATTGATACACATAGTTCTTGGAGAGAAACAGAATACAATTTATTCTTAAGAGGAGAGACAAACAATTGTTTGGAGAAAAGTAAATAGTTTTGGGTCACTTTGAAAGAAATCTTTTAATGACATGAATTTTTCAAGTTATGAAAAGAAATGGTGATATTATTTTGTCATAACTTGTCTTTCTTGCAATGGTGAACATTTTTATCCTTTCACATTTCAGGAAATGATATGCCTGCAAAAATAAGTGCTGAATGGGTGATTGGAAGAATTCTAGGTTGATTCCCACAACTGGAACATTGCTGTAAATTGTTAACATTTGGAGAATAAGGAAAAATTGCCACACACACACACATATATATGTGTATGTGTGTGGGGGGTGTATATATGTATATCTACATATATATATATATATATATATAGAGAGAGAGAGAGAGAGAGAGATGACTAGCAATAGTAGTGGTCTCCACTCATGAAGGCTAGCAAAGGTTGTAGTAATCATTTCGTTGTTGGTAACTATGGGTAATTTTATTAAACATGTATTATTGTACACCTAAATTGGGGCGATGAAACTATTCTGAAGCTGTTGGTGGTTGTGCTTGCATAAAATCACAAGTCATCATGACTAAGAGTTAGAGTTTATTGACCTAGATTGAGGTGGTAGTTGTGCCAGATGATGCACTCTCTCCCAGAAACTGTAACTAAGGTCTGCTCAGCATAGTTGCAGTATAAACCACACGCGGGCTCTGTGGGTGTTGAATAAACACAAAATTGCCTGAGTAGGCATCTGTAACAGGGATTGGTTAGCTGCCCTAGCAGATGTGTCTGCCCAGAAATGAGTAGGCATTCTTCTTATTATTATTAATCAAGTACTTTTCCCTGTCTACTATTGTGGCATGGTCAAGCTCACTGCCAATGGAAAGAGTATGAGTAGAATTCTTGCTTCTTCCTAGGGCAGTGGTTTGCAAATGGTGTGACACACCTCATAGATGCAGTGGAAAAGGATACCAGCCAAGGCAGAATGATTGAAAGACAATCAAAGATTAAGAAACAGTTTAAAAAATTCATATGCCAAAAATAAATATGATTTCAAAATTTAAAA